TCGACTGTAATCAAGTCTTTGATAGCCTTGGATTGTGTGCCAATCGGCGTGTGTTTAGACGCCTGGATGTATCCATTGGAAGAAAATGATTGGTCACTTCTTGAGAAAGAGCCCCTTCTGTTCATAAATATGCAAACTTTTCAAAACAAACCAAATCTCAAACGTATGAAAGATTACATTGGAATTAATGGCACGAATACTACCGATAGAAAAGTTATTACAATAAAAGAGGCCAAACATACCGATCAGAGCGACGCTCCGTTCACTCTTCCGCAATCATTCCTCTGGTTATTCGGAATGAAGTCAAAAGTGGATCCGTTTGTCGCACATGACTTGACCACTGGTCTCGCACTTGACTTTATTGCAGACAAATTGAAATGTGAGTTGAATATTACAAAATGTTTAATTCGTATATAAATTGTGTTTTTATTTAAATTTAAGTAAAACTCAAAAAAGACAAAAAAGAAATCATAGAAAAATATGACGAGAAACTAATCGGCGGAATCGATCCGAGTTTGTGGCAAACAAATGGGCATTAATTTGGATTGAATTGTCCTTGTTGCAAAACTTTACATATAAGCTCTTTTGTATAGTTTATGATATAAAATATGACGAGAAACTAATCGGCGGAATCGATCCGAGTTTGTGGCAAACAAATGGGCATTAATTTGGATTGAATTGTCCTTGTTGCAAAACTTTACATATAAGCTCTTTTGTATAGTTTATGATATAAATTATGATTAATAAAATTATTGCTTTTGAAATGTTTACAAAAGATGTGACTATTATTAAATAAATATCTAACGATCTAATAATTAATATCACTGTCAATGACTATTATATTACAGTAAATTTTACAGTTATGTGACTGTTGTCTGTAAATATATATAACTAAAATCTATCACAAAATGCATCCCAAATATTGCCGGGAATTCTTTGATTTTGACGAATTAACTCTTCGACAGCATTCATGGTTTGTTGAGCCAATTCTTCGGGTGTTATCTTCGGATCATAAGGAATCGGTTTTCCCACAAATGTCTTTAATTTAACGGGAAATCCACCATAAAATGGTATAACTGGAAGACGTGTCCATTCATACAATGGTTTTAATATACATTGAAATAACTTGACGGCAATGAATGCTTCCCTAAGGTTTTGTGTGAAGACCGGAATTATGGGTACTTTCGCTTCGAAGGCCACTTTTGCAAAGCCGGACCTATTATTCCACATTAGTTTATACAGATTATCACCAAATAGTCCTTCACGACAACCGCCCGGCGCTATCGATAACAGGTCTCCTTCACTAAGAAGCTTAACGCACTGGTCGACGGGTCCGGTCAGTACTTTTAGCTCTTTCATTAAGGTCTTAGAGCCCGGAAGCATGAATAAAAAGTGGTCGCCAACTGATCGCACAAATCGTTTCTTGTAGAGCAATATTTTGGTCATCAAATAGAAGTGGTCGAGAGGTATACAGCCGTGATAGTAGACTATAAGTGCCGGACCCTCATTGGGTATGCGGTCGAGTCCGTCCACTTCGTACGAGTGCCAGAAGTATCCGTGAGCTTCCCATAGCATTACAATCACATATAATAGACTTTTCCATTTGGTTTGATTACTTAATAGCCGTTTGGCGTCCAGTTTTTGCCGATGCCTATAGACATACATCACTAAAGCGGTCACATATAGGCTCAAGAATATGATCACTGGTATGACTAAGAAGATTGCTATGAAAGCGATTGATAATATAAGCCACGGATAGACAACCATTTGTGAAGGTATATAGTGTTCAATATATGGATTTAAATGATTGATTTGAATTTCATAAATATATTCGTCAATCCAATGATAAAACATTGTTAATAATGCAAACATTTTTTAGTTCAAAGTAATCATAAAACTTGCGGTCTTTAAAATTATGCAAAAATATTAATTTTCAAATTTGTTTCAACGATATAACGAATGATTGCAAATCTTTTTTGCAATATTTATCAAAATAATTTAATATTTTTGAAAAAATAAGTAAATATAATTCAAGGGAAAGTTAAATATTCTTTGTTTGTGATTGATTGGTATATAATTTAACAGGAATTGATGAAAAATCGTGTTTCGTCTAAATTAATATTCAACTTATTTCCTCCAATAATAAAAGTGGATTTATTTATTCACATAATAAACAAGTAATAAAACTTTATCGATCAAATCAAACTGATATATTGTTGATATTTTCAATAAATATTTATGTTTATTAACATTTGATCAATAATTTACTTGTGTTTTTGGGTTAAATATTAATTAAATATTCAGAGAATACTGTAATAACTTATAAGAATAAAAGTTATTAAATGGGAATTAATATTAACAAAACGAAACTTGAGATGTCGTCGCATATAAATATAATGTTTCCCATTATTATACAACCTTATAGTGTACTGAATATAACTTATTATAAAATATAAACCAACAGAAAAAACAGGAAACTATATAATTGTTGCGAACATTTAGTATATATGGTAATCGAGTGGCTATTAAGACACGGATTCAGACTATTATCTTATATAAGATTAATACGACTATTAATTCACATATTATTATACAGTAGTTATAATCACAGCATTGCTATTACGGAAGCGTTTGTCGTCCAAAAAACATGGAAATAATTGATTTAATTTAATGAACATAACAAACATATTATATACACAGAATCATAACAAAACAGCACATGTTATGTGCCATAGATTCCAAGTAATAGAGAAGTAAATCGTTGTAAAAGTAGGCAATAAAAAACTCCTACTTTTTATGTGGCGCTCATCAAACTATTTCTACCACTTTCACTCTCGGCCTTCAAACTTATCAATAGTTTGTGGTTTATGTGTATGAATATTGATATCGTGTAATAAAACTTTTTATTCCTTGATCTAAATTTTTATTTTGTTTTGTTTTTGTTTTATTTTTTGTTAAAATACTCTTTTGATTATCTCTGAATGCGTTAAACAATTGATAGGATATTTATCCGATTGTATCGCAGATTGCGATCAATTCTGGGAGAGAGTAAAGTGGAGAAAGAGATGAGAAAAAAGTGTTTTAAAAAATTATTCATTAGGTTTTCAATCGCCTCTTTTGTGAACAACATATCATTTCTTATCCTCTATTGTCTCGCATTAATTGAATGTGAAATTAGCTTTTGTTTTAAAACCGCTTATTGTTGTCCTTTGAAACGTTTGAGTGAAAAATCTCATTAGAATCTCATTATTATTTTTGAAGATCTAATTTATGCTAACATTCTCTCTCTCTCTCTCTCTCTCTCTCTCTTGGATAAGAAATGATATGTTGTTCACAAAAGAGGCGATTGAAAACCTAATGAATAATTTTTTAAAACACTTTTTTCTCATCTCTTTCTTCACTTTACTCTCTCCTGCGAGTCATTGTCTTTAAATTAAAAGTAAGTAAAATTTTTATTTAATTTTAAATTTTACGCAATTTTATTGTGTATTTATACAAAAAAATATGAAAACTTCTGTGAATGAACTCTTTTAATGAATATTATAATACGTTTTGTACGTAAAAAGTTTCCTCATCTCGTTTATAATGTGATGAATAGTTTAGTGACTGTTTTCCCAATTGAATTAATGTTAATATAAAACATATATTTAATTAGTGAATCAATTCATCATTTCTTTAATTCAAATATTAAATAAATATAGAAATCAAATGACTTTTTTGGTTCACAGAAATCCAGAAATCGGGGCCAAAATGGACTTTTAATTTAGTTGTGAGAAAAATAGTTTTACAATTTGTTAAAATACTCTTCTAATCAAATGAATTAATCTTTTAATTGTTTTTATCGATTGTTTTCTCACATAAACTTATTTTAGATCGTAATGAATGGCATTTTGTATCTAATTATTAACTATATTTATAGTATTATTAAATTAATATAAATTTAAAACCACTACTTATTTATGTATTATATGCGACACAAAAGTGGTTTTATTATAAACTTTAATTTTATTTGTCATTTGATTAAAACTCGATTTACAACTCGCGAGTGGAGAGGAATTAATTCATAATTTACTTTTAAATAATTGTTTATATTTTGAAATTTGCAAATATATTTAATTCAAATCAAAGGCCAATCACCAGAACCATTGTATTGAATAAATTCCTATATAATTGGATTGTTATCATTGTATAAACAAATGAAATGACTTTTTATGGATTGAGACTCTCTCTCTCTCTCTCTCTCTCTCTCTCTCTCTAAGGTTTTGTGTGAAGACCGGAATTATGGGTACTTTCGCTTCGAAGGCCACTTTTGCAAAGCCGGACCTATTATTCCACATTAGTTTATACAGATTATCACCAAATAGTCCTT